GGCGGGGGGCCGCGGGGGGGGGGGGTGAGCCCCAATTGGGGCCTTGTTGGCCAGGCTACATTTTTAAATACAGTAAAATATGACATCCAACAAAAGATTGCAACTTTGTCTTTATTTATGGCAGAGGTGGGAACCTTTTTTGGGTCCAGGGCCATGGAGTTCGGGTGAAGGAGGCAGTTGTGGCCTGAAACACGGGATTGGGGTGCAGGACGCGGGGGGGGGGGGTGAGCCCCAATTGGGGCCTTGTTGGCCAGGCTACATTTTTAAATACAGTAAAATATGACATCCAACAAAAGATTGCAACTTTGTCTTTATTTATGGCAGAGGTGGGAACCTTTTTTGGGTCCAGGGCCATGGAGTTCGGGTGAAGGAGGCAGTTGTGGCCTGAAACACGGGATTGGGGTGCAGGACTGCGACCTAGGGCAGGAGAGGGCTGTGATCTAGGGCAGGGGACTAGGGTGCAGGGTCTGGGAGGGGGTATGAGCTCAGGAGGGGGGCAGAGGGTTTGGGTTACACGGGGGGTGGGGGAGGACTGGAGTGTCAGGGGCAGGCTCTGGCCAGGAGAGTTACCAGTGAGACTCCAGAGCAGCAACCCCACCCAACTGCCCGGCTCCTCCCCCCACCGGCTGCAGGGCCATGTGCTCTGTGAGTAAGAGCCTGAGGGGAGGGGTGACTGGCAGCTTCCAGCCAGACACCAGCCAATGGGATTGTGCTGGGGGGCGGGAGCACCACTCCCCCCTCCTGGCTCACAGTTTATGGCTCACAAAGGGCCCAGCCCCACAGCCTCTTTGCTGAGCTGCACAAGAGAGCAGGGCAAGCAGGGGCGTCTGCCTGAGGGGTCCTTGCTGCGGCCCGGATTCTTTTCCCCCCAGGGCTGGCCTCAGTGTGAGCGCATGCGGACCCCCCCGCCCAGGGAAGGGCCCAGCACAAGCAGCGCCAGGCAGAGGCGCTTTCGGGTCAGACTCTGCTGCAGTGCGCGGCGTGCTCACTGTGTTTACGTGGCAAGAGGTCAACTTTGAGGTCTGTGGGGCTACACCAGCCATTGCCTGGACCGTTCCCTCCCGACGCCCGCTTTAGGGACCGAGTCAGAACACGGCTTTACCTCATGTCTCTAGCCGGGGTCCGAGCTTCGCTCTGCGCCATGGACAGGTAATCGGTAACATCAATTGTGTCTTCTTCCAGCTCCCCTTCCTCCAGTTCTCCTTCCTCCAGCTCCCCTTCCTCCATCTCCTCTCGCCTCATCGCTTTAGGCATCCTGCCTTGCTCCATGGACTGGATGGAGTCATCCGGTTCCGCCCGCCTCCAGCAAGTCGACAAGTCGGCCAGGGACGGCCCAGACTTAGAACGCCACCTGCTTTCCGGGCACCACCTGTCCTCCGGGCAGCCAAGCTGGTCGGCAAGGATGCGGTACTTTGCAGCGTCGAAGAGCTCGTTCCGGGGCCCTAACAACCCCCAGCCCTGAATGGAAGAGTTGCACTGGGTTAAGACAGCGGTAGGAAGCCAGCTGGGCTGGACAACTTCTAAAGCAGACTGGATGCAAACTTGGGACAAAGGGGAGACGTGTAGAGATGAATCCCTCAAGTCCAGGAGAGCGATACGGAGCATGAAAGGGCCTTGTAAACCCTAAAAATATATTCCTCCTGTTCCTCTTTATGGTCACGCCTTAAAGGGAAATCCGCTCCTTTCCGACTGCCCTTCCCATCACATGGTGCCCTGCAGTTGTTCGCACAGGCTGGGCCAGCGCATGCTGCTTTGTTATACACCAAACACTCGGTTTAGTGTTTTAAAGCACTGAATCCACCCCAACACCACAGACTACACCAAATTAGCTAGGCTCCTCTTTCCTCCCCCACAACAAATTATGTTGATTCACATAGTAAACAACATATTTACTTCAAAGAACAGAACTAGCTGGGTCATCCCACCAAACCCAACACCAGGACTCATATTAGCGAATAGATTCACGTCTCACTTCCTCTTCTTTTCATTCACGTAAGACGTTTATGTTCGAGTGACAGGTGCTTGTATTTCTGGGTTCTGTAATGTACAAAGCTCCAAAACGTGTCCGTTCCTGGAGCTACAAACAAGCTCCCAATTGCAGTTTGGGTAACTGCAGGACTCCCACACATGCATTGTAGGCATGTGCGCCCACCTAGAGGTGCGGGGACGTCCATGACAATATATATCTTGGTTTTTTATACGGGGACATTTCTAAGAGCTTTGGCATCATTCCTTCAGCCTCGTAACACCTCTGTTAGATGGAACAATATTATTTTGTACAGTAATTCCTCATTTAACACTATAGATCTGTTTCAGAAAACGACCGCTTTAAGTGAAAACGTGTTATGCGGGGTCATTTTTCCCATTGAAAATGATGGAAAAGGTGGGGGTTGCGTTTCAAGCGGGGGCGTCTGTTGGGACCGGGACATAAGGTTGGGGGAGAAAGGGGACTGGGTTACAGCAGGGAGAGGAGGTGTTTGGCTCTGGGGAAGGGAAAGGGAGGAGAGGGGGGACTGGGTTGGAAGTATGCCCCTGTGACGAGTCTGCCGGGACCCGCACTGCGTCTGGCAAGGAGTCTTCGCCAGGGAATGGCGCGGTGAACCCTCCTCTGCCTTGCAAGGAGGCGGGGGAAGCCCTGCGCAGCCGCCGGCGATGGGCTGGCTGGGGAAACCCAGCCACCAGCCTTCGAGTGGGGGCAAGGCGTCCGGTGAGGGGGAGTCGGTGGGGAATGGCGCTGCGACCAGCGAACCCTCCGGAGGTTTGCAGGGAGGTGAGGGAAGTCTCGTGCAGCCGCTGGCAACAGGGCAGCTGGGGAAATCGTGTTCTTCCGGGGACGGTCGTGAAATTCAAAAAACGTTCCCTAAAAAAAAAATCGTGCTATTGCGAAAACATGTTAAGCGGGCACGTGTGAAATGAGAAATTACTGTATTGTGGGAAGCCTCCGGGTCCAAATCCCACTATGTGAGGCACTCTGCACAATATAACAAGACAGTCCCCTGCCCTAAGCAGACAGTATCACCTGTTGGCTTGGAGAGTAAGCAATTTATTACGGACAGCACGGGGATCACCACCTTGATAGCTGAAGATACTCAACACTCCCTATTACAGAAGCCTTGTTTTCAGCTGCTTAAAGCCACTAGCCCACGCTCCCTCCCAGACAGCGCCAATATAACTTTATATGGTCAGACAGGGAGAGCTTCTCGGTGAAGAACACAAGGGCATGGCATCGGGGACACTCATCTCTCCCAAGAGCCATGAGCGGTGCATGGAGCGAAAGGCGACAAAGAACACAATGGAGAAGAGAGACCAGGGAACTCAAGGCTCTCGGAGCTCAGACAGGCGACCTGCTTGGCCACAGGAGCAAGTGGGGGTGCACACGCTCAGACTCATCCGGCCACTGCACCAAGAGCTTGTCATGAGCCCAGCGGGGCTGCCGCCATTCTTGATTAGGAAACACAACAACGGAGGAAATGGAGGCAGAAAGAGCTTTCAATAAATCAGCCGTCAAACACCCATTCAGTAGGCAGCAAGTCTAGGGGCCTCTTCTGGATTCTTGGTAGGGAGATGAGCGGAGGGAAGCAACTCACCTTGAAGAGCTGGCATGCAGCAGCTGCAGCCTGTCTCTCGGCATCAATCTTTTTGGTCCCATAGCCTTCCACTTCCACATTCTTAGGCCATTTTATGTGCAAAGTGACTTTCTGAAAAGGAAAGAAGAGCAGTGACATATGAGAGAGAGAGAGAGAGAGAGAGAGAGAGAGAGAGACCACACCCTTTCCTCATAGTGCTTAGATGACCTCTCTGAATCCCAAGCAAGAGGAAGGTTTAAATAATTGTCACTAAGCAGCTCTTATTTTCAGCTAATACTTTTCAGCAGAGGCTCTCAAAGGGCTTTTCATTTGCCCTCTTTTCTGGAGGCGACAGCTGAAGCCCAGAGAAGTGATGCGATTTGCCCGCAATCTTACAGTTGTTCAGTGGCAAAATTAAGATTAGAACCGAGGTCTAACTCCTAGCGTACCAGCCTATGCACATGCTGAAAGAAGCCAACGATAGCAAACGAGTTATGTCAAACAGGGAGAGTTAGAGGTGGAGTCTGGGTTTTTGTAGGCATACTAAATGTGCTGAGATGAAGAACCAGACGGAAGGAGGAGTATATTGAAACACATCCTACCCTGCAATAAATAATCTCTATGACAAAGGATTAATGGACACCCCACAGATATTAGCAATGATAACACACAGAAACCTGTAAGGGAATATTTTAACTTCCCTGGGCTCTCATTAAGGGACTTAAAAGCAGCCATTCTTCCACAAAGGAATTTCACAAGCCAATTACAGAAAGAGAAGCTTCAGGGGGTAGCCGAATTAGTCTGTACAGGATAAACTGTACAGAAAGAGAGTTCAGAATTGACCTTTATATGCAAATCTGACACAGTATTCCTTGCTCTGAAAAAAGCCTTGAACTAGTTACCATTATTATAACACCAACTTTCCTCACACTCAACACCTTATTGACATCAAAAGTTAAGTGTGGGACACTTTCAGCTTACTCAATTAGTCTCATTAACACCAGGACTACAATTGACAAGGTATTTTCCTCCCTCTCCTTTCTTATTCTGAGGGGTCCACCTTTTTTTTCCCCCCCATTTAAGAGGGGAAAAATATTATATATATTTTCTCTAAGGTGCCACAGGACTACTTGTTTTTAATGTTACAGACTAACACGGCTACCCCTCAGACTTTTACCCTGCAATAAACCATTTAGTATCACAATAATACCGGTCCTTTGCCACCTCCACTTACAAGCACCTCTCGCACAACCAGGGGTTAATAATAGAATTACCTTTTTTCTTGGCCCATTAGTGTGGATATACACCAGTTTGTCTCTTGCATGGGAGATCCCCAGGGCTCTTCCAATCACACTGTTAAGCAAGTTTTTAGGTTGTGGAAATTCCTTCAACAAGTCTCTGGAATCTGAAAGAACAATGACAAAAGGGAATGCCATGTTAATGCTTGTAGAGTCCTGTTCAAAGGAGCTAAGCAGGTTATGAACTCTTCTCTCACTTGCGTGCTATAAGATCTAATATTTTCCTAGTTTTACAGATGGAGACCTGGAGGCAGAAAGTGCTTTGCCCATGGTGTTGCAACGTGTCGGTACCGAATCCAGAAACCTTGAAGTCTCCTGGACTCTCACCACTGGAGGACACTCCAGTACCAATATATACTAACAACTATTCTGGTCTGGATTCCAAGAGATGTCAGGAAGCTATGTTTATTTATTTCGCTTTCAAAAAGCCTGAAAATATTGTATGCGGATTGCCTCATGGTTAGAACTCTTGGTTTTGTGACTCAAGGACACATTATAAGCAGGAAGAACTGGAATTGCTAACCAATAAATACAACTATGATATCATTGGTATTACAGAAACCTGGTGGGATGGGACACATGATTGGAATGTTGGTATGGAAGGGTACGGCTTGCTCAGGAAGGACAGACAGGGAAAAAAGGGAGGAGGGGTTGCCTTGTATATTAAAAATGTACACACTTGGACTGAAGTGGAGATGAACGTAGGAGATAGCTGTGTAGAGAGTCTCTGGGTTAAGCTAAAAGGGGTAAAAAACGAGGGTGATATCATGCTAGGAGTCTACTACAGGCCACCTAGCCAGGTGGAAGAGGTGGATGAGGCCTTTTTTAAACAATTAACAAAACTATCCAAAGCCCAAGATTTGGTGGTGATGGGAGACTTCAACTATCCAGACATATGTTGGGAAACTAACACAGCGAGGCACAGGCTATCCAATAAGTTTCTGGACTGCATTGGAGACAACTTTCTGTTTCAGAAGGTTGAAAAAGCTACCAGAGGAGAAGCTGTTCTGGATTTGGTTTTAACAAATAGGGAGGAACTAGTTGAGAACTTGAAAGTGGAAGACAGTATAGGGGACAGTGATCACGAAATAATAGAGTTCATGATCTTAAGGAAAGGTAGAAGGGAGACCAGCACAATTGAGGTAATGGATTTCAGGAAGGCAGATTTTGATAAGCTCAGAGAACTTGTAGGTAAGGTCCCATGGGAAGCAAGACTGAAGGGAAAAACAACTGAGGAGAGTTGGAAGTATTTCAAAGGGACGTTGTTAAGGGCCCAAAAGCAAACAATTCCGCTGTGTAGGAAAGATAGAAAATATGGCAAAAGACCAGCTTGGCTTAACAAGGAGATCTTGCACGATCTCAAAATAAAAAAGGAGTCATATAAAAAATGGAAACTAGGACAACTAACAAAGGATGAATATAGGCAAGCAACACGGGAATGCAGGGGCAAGATTAGAAAGGCAAAGGCACAAAATGAGATCAAACTAGCTACAGGCATAAAGGGAAACAAGAAGACCTTTTATAAATACATTAAAAGCAAGAGGAAGACCAAGGACAGGGTAGGCCCACTGCTTAGCGAGGAGGGAGAAGCAGTAACAGGGAACTTGGAAATGGCGGAGATGCTCAATGACTTCTTTGTTTCGGTCTTCACCGAGAAGTCTGGAGGTGTGCCTAACGTAGTGAATACAAGCAGAGAGAGGGTAAGTTTAGAAGATAGGATACACAAAGAACAAGTTAAAAATCACTTAGGAAAGTTAGATGTCAGCAAGTCACCAGGTCCTGATGAAATGCATCCCAGGATACTCAAGGAGCTGATAGAGGAGGTATCTGAGCCTTTAGCTATGATCTTTGAAAAATCATGGCAGACAGGGGAGATTCCAGAAGACTGGAAAAGGGCAAATATTGTGCCCATCTATAAAAAGGGGAATAAGAACAACCCAGGAAACTACAGACCGGTCAGTTTAACGTCTGTCCCAGGGAAGATAATGGAGCAGGTAATTAAGGAAATCATATGCAAACACTTGGAAGGTAATAAAGTGATAGGGAATAGCCAGCATGGGTTTGTGAAGAACAAGTCATGCCAAACTAATCTGATAGCTTTCTTTGATAAGATAACGAGCCTTGTGGATAAGGGAGAAGCGGTGGATGTCATATACCTAGACTTTAGTAAGGCATTTGATACGGTCTCGCATGATATTCTTATTGATAAACTAGGCAAATATAACTTAGATAGGGCCACGATAAGGTGGGTGCATAATTGGCTGGATAACCGTAGTCAGAGAGTTGTTGTTAACGGTTCTAAATCCTGCTGGAAAGGGATAACAAGTGGAGTTCCTCAAGGGTCTGTTTTGGGACCCATACTGTTCAACATCTTCATCAATGATGTAGATATTGGGATAGAGAGTACGCTTATTAAGTTTGCAGATGATACCAAACTGGGTGGGGTTGCAACTTCTTTGGAGGATAGGGACATAATTCAAAATGACCTTAGCAAGTTAGAGAAATGGTCAGAGGTAAACAGGATGAGGTTTAATAAAGAGAAATGCAAAGTGCTCCACTTAGGAAGGAACAATCAGTTCCATACATACAAGATGGGAAGCGACTGTCTAGGAAGGAGCATGGCAGAAAGGGATCTAGGGGTCATAGTGGACCACAAGTTGAATATGAGTCAACAGTGTGATGCTGTTGCAAAAAAAGCAAATATGATTCTAGGTTGTATCAACAGGTGTGTTGTAAGCAAAACTCGTGAAGTCATTCTGCCGCTCTACTCTGCACTAGTTAGGCCTCAGCTGGAGTACTGTGTCCAGTTCTGGGCGCCACATTTCAAGAAAGATGTGGAGAAATTGGAAAGGGTACAGAGAAGAGCAACAAGAATGATTAAAGGTTTAGAGAACATGACCTATGAAGCCAGGCTTCATGAACTGGGCTTGTTTAGTTTGGAAAAAAGAAGATTAAGGGGGGACATGATAGCGGTTTTCAAATATCTAAAAGGGTGTCACAAGGAGGAAGGAGAAAATTTGTTCCTCTTGGTTTCTGAGGACAGGACAAGGAGTAATGGGCTTAAAGTGCAGCAGGGGAGGTTTAGATTGGACATTAGGAAAAAATTCCTAACTGTCAGGGTGGTCAAATATTGGAATAAATTGCCAAGGGAGGTGGTGGAATCTCCCTCTCTGGAGATATTTAAGAACAGGTTAGATAGACATCTGTCAGGGATGGTGTAGACAGAGCTTGATCCTGCCTTGAGGGCGGGGGGCTGGACTCGATGACCTCTTGAGGTCCCTTCCAGTCCTATTATTCTATGATTCTATGAAAAGCATGAGTGGCGGCTGCTTACCCAAATTGAGCACATGGCCCAGCTGCTAAGATGAGCGACGTGTCATATGTTCCCGCCACACACAGGTAGCGCTTTCACAAATTTCAGTAAGAGAAACATTCCCCTGACATTCTAGAGGTCTGTTAATGAACCTTCGCAGATCACCTTTAAGACATAGGCCTCTTTCATGGAAGGTTTAGAATGCTCCAGATCTGCTGCATCTGGCCGGTCGGTCAGATTTCACCAATACATTACAATTCTGGTTGCTAAAAATTAGGGATTTCAGATAATTGACTAAGGAGAGAAAGAACCAGCTGTTTAGCCACCAACACAAAGCCTAGGAGATCTGCCAACAAGAAATGATCTGTTCAAGTCACAGCTTTTAATTTCACTCTCTATGCTGTTTAGTTTTGCTGAGAGCTCTTGGTGGCAGAGATACTGCAGGAAGACACCTGGGAACGCCTGATTCCAAGCCAAGAGGAGGGCGTCTTGTCAAGAAACTGATTCTCTGCTACTTCTGAAGTGTGGATAAAAACATTCTCTCTTCAGGCAGAAATCCTTATGGAAAAAGCTGTCTCTGAAATGATGACAGTATCATTTGCAAGCATATCTGAACATCCTGAATCTTCTGCGAGAAACTGTATGTTGTACTGTGGCAGATATACTATCCTTAACAAAATCTGCAGGACTTTCACATAGAGCCTGACAAAAAGATGTAAGAAGCCACAAGCAACATTAAATGGAAAAGCTTTTGGAGACCACTGACCTCCCATATCCTGGATTCCATCCTCTGTCAAACAGAAAGATGCAGCTCTCCAACCCAGAACAATCTCTGTGACTCAATCTAATTTTCTAGGTTTATTCTGTAGTCCAGAGACAGGAAACGTGCCCTTGCTATCTATAGGGACAACTGGATTCTTGTAGAGCTGTGCTTTCAGAAACCAGGCAAGGAGAGACTTGGATTTCTCTGTTTTACATGGCCTACTACTTCTGCCAGGCACTTACCTGGTCAAGATCGCCAGAACCACATAGAACTGAGTACAGAGTACTCCGGACTGTTAAACTCTGAGTTTGGAGGGATCGGGTAGGGAGGAAAAAAAATGAAAATGAACTCTCAATCTAAAAGGATGCCTCAAATCAATTTGTATACTTAGGGAAAGGATAATGAAAGTTAACATCACTAGAGATGTAAGCAACTAGTCAAACATCCAATAATCAAATGTTATCAGATAGTCAACTAGTGACTCTACTAGTCGCTCCTCTCTCCACCCCCCCACCTCTATCCGAGAGGCAGCAAGATAGTGGGGGGGAGGATCTGGTGCTGGGGAGAGATGGCTTAAAAGCTGGTTCCCCCCAGCACTGTCTCTGTGGGGAGAAGGTGCAGTGGGGAACTGGTAGTACTTCCGTCTTTGAAATGTAACAAAAGCGGGGCTCTTGCTACATTTCAAAAGCAGAAGCGCTGCAGGGAGCTTGGGGCGAGCTGGGGACTCAAACAGTCCCCTGCTGGCCCCGTGCTCCCAGTGACACTTTGCTTTTGAAATGTAGAGGCGCCCTGATCGACTAATCGAACAGTTGATGCAAACCGCATCGACTATTCAATTACTTGATTCATCTAAATCACTTAACCCTCACCCCAAAAAAAGATATTTTGACATTAGAAAAGGTCCAGAAAAGAGCAACTAAAATGATGAGGGGTTTGGAACAGGTCTCATATGAGGAGAGATTAAAGCGACTGGGACTTTTCAGTTTAGAAAAGAGGAGACTGAGGGGAGATATGATAGAGGTCTATAAAATCATGAGTGGTGTGGAGAGGGTGAATAAAGAAAAGTTATTTACTTGTTCCCATAATATAAGGACTAGAGAACACCAAATGAAATTAATGGGTAGCAGGCTTAAAACTAATAACAGAAAGTTCTTCTTCACTCAGTGCACAGTCAACCTGTGGAATTCCTTGCCAGAGGAGGCTGTGAAGGCTAGGACTATAATTGAGTTTTAAAAAGAGCTAGATAAATTCATGGAGGTTAGGTCCATAAAAGGCTATTAGCCAGGGAGTAAGGAAGGTGCCCTGGCCTCTGTTTGTCAAAGGCTGGAGATGGATGGCAGGAGACAATTTTCTTGATCATTGTCTTCGGTCCACCCCCTCTGGGGCACCTGGTGCTGGCCACTGTCGGCAGACAGGATACTGGGCTAGATGGACCTTTGGTCTGACCCAGTATGGCTCTTCTGATGTTCTTATGTTAAACATCACTGTCTAATGTACTTATTCAGTTATGTTAGCTACAATAAGCAATGGTGCCTTTTCTCAGGGAAAAATAATGTGAATAAACCTCTATCCCTGCTATTTCTAAAGAACTTTCCTCTCTCAGAGTATGTCTATACTGCGGGGGTTTTCCAGGATACCAGAGGTATCCCGGAAAAACTCTGCCACATCCAAGGAATGCGTCTGCTCTTCTGCTTTTTTTTGTGGAAGAGCAGACGCGCTCTTTCAGGGAGCCCTGTATTCCTCATTGTACGAGGGATAAGGGCTCCACCAAAAGAGGAGGCTTTTCCACCATTTGGCCCCATCTAGACTGGGCCTAACGGTGGGAAAGCCTCTTCTGGAAAAGCGATTGGAAAAAGCTATAGTGGAGAGCTAGCGTCACACTGAGCAGGAAAAAGGCTACTTCAGTAAACACGACAGAGGTCCTTTAAGAGAGGGGAGGGTTGGTAGGTGACATGGGGTAACCTTTTCCAACAATCCTCTAACACGAAAGCTATGTCTACACTTGCGGCTTCATGCTTGAGTAATATGCAAATGAGGCTAAGCGCGGAATATCGCTGAGCCTCATTTGCATACCTAATGAGACACCATTTTTTTCAGAAGAGGCTCTTGCGCAAGAAGGAGCATCTACACTGACCCTTCTTGCGCAAGAAAAACCCTCTTGCGCAATGCCGTTCTTCTCAAGTAATAGGCGTAACAGCATGCGCAAGAGGGTTTTTCTTGCGCAAGAAGGGTCAGTGTAGATGCTCCTTCTTGCGCAAGAGCCTCTTCTGAAAAAAATGGTGTCTCATTAGGTATGCAAATGAGGCTCAGCGAGTGTAGACATAGCCTAACTATCTACAGTAATCTCTGGCTTAGGGGACAAAGGAGAGAGAAAATTCACAATTCCCCTGCAACCTGGACTGCCATCAACTAGAGCATGTATTTTTGGTCTCTGATTGCTTCCGAGAAATCTGTGATAAGGAGCAGACAAAGGATGAGGAGGATCTTGCCTCACGTATCTACCGAGTGGGGCTGTGAAAGGTTAATCGGTTCCCGGCTCATTGGTGCAGGTTGGAGAAGCTCCCCCCGCCTGCCTGGAGCAGAAGTGGGGGCCATCACCACTGTAGAAGCTGTAGAAACCATTTTCATATTTAGCTAGAAGCCATCTTGTATATCAGAAACCATTTCAGCTTTTCTCTCAAGCACGTAGACCAGAGTGAACTTTCTGTCACCCCGTGAGAAGAGGCCTACAGGATGGGCTATTGGTATGTGTTAATTGGGCTGGTTGGGACAGGAGATGTACTCCCTCGCACCTGTCCGCCATCTTGTTGATAAGGCTTTGTTTTTCCAAATTTAATTGAGGATTTCTGTAATTGGATGCCCTGACGTCAGACTGTTTGGTTAAGGGTATAAAGATACTAGGATTGATTGTATTAGTAGCTTTACTGGGTCTGGCTCTGCTGTGACCACGTTTGGCTCATGCTGTGCTTTATTAATTAATAAAGCTGCTTGTTAGCTGCCTAAACACAGAGGAGCGTGTTTTAGCTTCGACACCACGGAGCCTGAGGCAGGGAGACTACAGGCAAGGACTGCTCTGGCTGAGCCGGAGAAGCCACTCCTTCCCACTCTGTAATTGGTTAAATACTTCTGCCAAATCTTATCCAGAAGAGATGTAAACCTTTCCAGGTCAAAAAATCTCTATGCCTCCAGAAACACTGCTGTGCATTCAGACATCCTCATCAAGTATTTGGAGCCACATGCACCAAATCCAGTGATTTTTTAACTGGTTTCATTGCATGTAAGAAGCCTCTCTGTGATTGCAGCTGGTTAACTGCTGCCGTAGGACCACGTCGCAGATGTCATCTATCACGCCAATCTCTGTGACTGCCAAGACTAGTGGCCCTGATTGCAGATGGACTAAAAGGTAGTCAAAAGCCAGCTGAGAGAGTTGGTACCGGACATTCCCAAGATAAACGAAACAGAGTCTGGTTTTAGTCTTTAGTCCCTAGCAGCTCACATCTGGGAGGATGGAGAGAGAGAGACTCTTCCCTCCCTGGACAGTGGACAATTCGAGGAGGGTTGTAAAAAGCACTCAGCACTGGCCTAACTCTAGAAGACAGCGAGTTTTACTATTGATTTCAATGGGAGCAGAGTAACGACAACATCGAGTGTTTCTGAAAATCCCATCCATAGTACCTAAAGCACTATCAGACCCAGAAAAACCAGGAAGTGCCAACTACTGTTAAGCGGAGGGATTGAATGGTCTACAATACATTCTTATCTGGGCATGACAAAAGTGTGTCAGGCTGATCTTGTATCAGAGGGATACATAAACCACTAGAAGTCCTGTGGCACCTTGTAGACTAACAGATTTATTGAAGCATAAGCTTTCCTAAGCGAAGATCCACTTCATGCATCTGATGAAGTCAGTCTTTGCCCATGAAAGCTTATGCTCCAATAAATCTGTTAGTCTACAAGGTGCCACAGGACTTCTAGTGGTTTAGGCTGATCTTGTGTCTGCTGCTCATTTTTCGACACTGAGAAAGGATATTGAGAAAGGTATGAAGAGTCACGTGGGAAAATCAGAGTACACAGGGTCCATAAAAATTAAGAAAAATTGATGGGAGAATGCCCCCAAAGTACCAGACAAGCACAAGGACTAAAATCTTGTAACCCTATAACACACACTGATGTTAAGGATTACAGGAGGACTGTTAGAAGACTCAAATCAGATTTCTCAGGTTGGACTCCATTATACACATTTACAATCACTTAGCAGGGTAGAAAAAGTACAAATGAAAGACCATACAGTCCCTGCCATAAAGCTCTTACAATCTAAGAATGGCAGCAGTAACCCTTAAAACTAGGGTAGATCACCTGAAATGACAACTAGTGAGGAAAATGTGTATAGCTGAAGAGAGGAAGGAAAAGATTTCTTATTGCTGTGAAACAATGTTCATACAGATTTCAGTAACAGACCCAGAAAAACACCTCAGATCAGAGATGCGTTTTCAATATATGTTGCGGATTCACCAGAGGTCAGTGCCAAAGTACCTGGCTGAACTGAGCTTGAAGACACCAACCTGACAGTGGAAGGCTTGGAACCTGTCTCCATAAGAAAAAATCTCAAAGTGATTTTCATGCTCCCTAGGGCCAAAATAATAGTCACAGAGCTAGAACTCAGGCCTTTAGGGAGACCTTAACAACAACTTACTTGTTGAAGGAGGCAGATCTTTTATTCCTTCAGTGAGCATCCTGGAACAGCCTCCTATGCTCAGTCTACCACTGGAGAACGCAATACAAAGCAATGCGGAAGAAAAGACTCCAACAATCTGCCCCCAGCTTTATGTGAATCACTTATCACTGTCAAGTCTGCCTGTTACACCCATTGTCCCAAAGCAGCATTCTGATTGGCTGGTTGGGCTTTTTGATGTCACAGAGTATGCCAGCTCCCAAAAGTGTACAGCCAAGATCTCAATGAAACAAACAAAAAAACCCCACTATACCTATTATGAGGATTGGGGGTGGGGGGGAGGATATCAGCACAAGGACAGGGCATCTAGGGATAGATTACAAAAAAGTCAGTAGTTGTCTACAGGAAATATGATCCTAAAGGAGAGAAAAACAGTTTAAAATACCTCCTCTCCCAGTGTGTCAAACTGCCTTTTCAGTTTTGTGGGGCGGGTTGATTCAGTTCTAACATTTACACTAGAAAACTGGTTAAATAGGTAGCTGATCAACAGGCCAATGTACAGGCAGTCCCCGGGTTACGTACAAGATGGGACTGTAGGTTTGTTCTTAAGTTGAATCTGTATGTAAGTCGGAACTGGCGTCAGCCGCTGCTGAAACTGATCAGCGGCTGATTCCAGGAAGCCTGGGGCAGAGCAGCTGGGGCGCTGCCTGGTTGGTCCGGAGCGGCGCTGCGGGACCAACCTGGCAGCCCCCAGCTGCTCTACCCCAGGGGCAGGCAAGAAAAGCCTGGTCTGCTGGGGGGGCCCAGCAAAGCCACTGGACCCCCCCAGCAGACCAGGGGGACAGGAGCAAAGCCGCGGAGCACGCCCGCAGCGGGGCAGCCCAGGCATGCTTGAGCTGTCCCCCTGCGGGCATGCTCCGTGGCTTTGCTCCCCGTCTTCCGACCAGGGAGATGGGGAGCAAAACCTTGGAGCACGCCCGCAGGGGGACAGCTCAAGCATGCCTGGGCTGCCCCGCTGCGGGCGTGCTCCGCGGCTTTGCTCCTGTCCCCCTGGTCTGCTGGGGGGGCCCAGCAAAGCCACTGGACCCCCCCAGCAGACCAGGGGGACAGGAGCAAAGCCGCGGAGCACGCCCGCAGCGGGGCAGCCCAGGCATGCTTGAGCTGTCCCCCTGCGGGCATGCTCCGTGGCTTTGCTCCCCGTCTTCCGACCAGGGAGATGGGGAGCAAAACCTTGGAGCACGCCCGCAGGGGGACAGCTCAAGCATGCCTGGGCTGCCCCGCTGCGGGCGTGCTCCGCGGCTTTGCTCCTGTCCCCCTGGTCTGCTGGGGGGGCCCAGCAAAGCCACTGGACCCCCCCAGCAGACCAGGGGGACAGGAGCAAAGCCGCGGAGCACGCCCGCAGCGGGGCAGCCCAGGCATGCTTGAGCTGTCCCCCTGCGGGCGTGCTCCAAGGTTTTGCTCCCCATCTCCCTGGTCGGAAGACGGGGAGCAAAGCCACGGAGCATGCCCGCAGGGGGACAGCTCAAGCATGCCTGGGCTGCCCCGCTGCGGGCGTGCTCCGCGGCTTTGCTCCTGTCCCCCTGGTCTGCTGGGGGGGCCCAGCAAAGCCACTGGACCCCCCCAGCAGACCAGGGAGACTGGGAGAAGCTTTTCTCACCCGGGAGGACACAGGTGGCGACCCGCCGCCCGTGAGCTCCGGGGCGAGAAAAGCCCTGTTCGTAAGTGCGGATCCGACATAAGTCGGATCCGCATAAGTCGGGGACTGCCTGTATATGCCACAGTCGACCAAAAGGAAAGCTGGTTGTTCTCTTAAAAGGAAAAGAAAATTAAGTGGCCAATTAGAGACAAAGAAGATTTTTAAAATTATTTGCAGTAAGAGGTATTTATAAAACATTTTCCCTGCTGGTTTTTCTTGTCCCTTTTGTAAGAATTTGCAAAGTAGAAACCCACAGATATAAATCTAAAAGGCACACTGTCTTTTTTTAAAATGGAATGTACATGTAAAGCAGTCATATGACAGCAATAACCCTTCCAGTACACTTTTTGGGTAGAGGAAGGCTCTCAGCCTTTGGCATTATACCACACCAAGCATCCGTGCACATTATATCAGCTTAATGTTATGTCTGTGCCATGGTTTACAATCATATTTACAAACCTCCTTGAAAGATACAAAACCTTTTTATAAGATTGTGAGGTTTTGATACTTGAAAGTTGTAAAAACTTTTTACAAAGTGTGAGATTTTAAGTGCATAAGTCAACCCTGAATGGGATAAGGATATTAAGAAGAAAATAAATTGAAGTGAGTGTCTGGCATTGGAAAAGGTTCAAGAAAAGGCAACAAAAATGATGAGGGGTTTGGAACGGGTCCCGTATGAAGAGAGATTAAAAAGACTTGGACTTTTCAGCTCAGAAAAGAGGAGACTAAGGGGGGATACGTTAGAGGCCTATAAAATGGTGTGAAAAAAGTGAATAAGGAAAAGTTATTTACTTATTCTCACAATATAAGAACGAACTAGGGATCACCAAATGAAATTAATGGGCAGCAGGTTTAAAACAAACAAAAGGAAGTTTCTCTTCACTCAGCGCACAGTCAACCTGTGGAACTCCTTGCCAGAGGATGCGGTAATGGCTAAAACTTTAACAGGGGTCAAAAAAGAGCTAGACAGATTCATGGAGGTTACGTCCATCAATGGCTATTAACCAGGATGGATAGGAATGGTGTCCTTAGCCTGTTTTTCTAGAGGTGGGTGACAGGGGAGGGATCACGTGAGGATTCCCTGCTGTGATCCCTCCCTCTCGGGCATCTGGTATTGGCCACTGTAGGCAGACAAGACACTGGGCTAGTTGGACCTTTGGGCTGACCCAGTCTGGCCGTTCTTATGCTCTTATACTATACACTGAAGGAAGATATGCAGCTTCCCACATGTAATTTATGAAAACTGTAACACATGGGCAGGGCTTGACAAACGGCGGCAAAAGCCACTCGCCAGTCCCGCACTGTGCATGCACAAGAGCCTCCGGTAAATGGGGTGTGCGGCTGACATCTACTCACCATGGGCGAGTAGATTCTATAGTTTGTCAAGTCCTGCGCATGGGAATTCACGGGCAATAAGATTTCTTAACATCTAGCTCACTTCCACGTTTCGTTTGGTTTGGACAACCCATCAGTCCTCAGAACAAAACCAGTATGAGCAGTGGCAGGAAAATGGATGCTAGGAGAGCGAGGAGGTGATGTTTCCTCTGCACAGCCTGTTCAGCTGATCCCCCTGTGCCGAGGTGCCAGGGAAAGGGCTATTTATTAGGATATTTTCATTCCACACAGGCTAAACCAGAAGGCCGGGAGACACAAAGGCTCTCACTCACGACCCGTTTCAAACGCGTGACCTTGAGGTGAAAGGACGCGGAGCCCTTCACCGCTGCCCCGAGCATCCCATTCACCCTGTTTGCCAATCGGGGGCCGAGGCGCGTCCAGAACACGGAGAGATTCACGTCCAGGAAGCGGCTCGTGTTCCCTCCAGAGCCGCTTCGGGACCCGCCGCCCCCTGGGCCCCACGCGGGCTCGCCTCCCCGCACCGGCAGGCTCGCGCCCGCGTCCCGGGACGG